GGATGACGAGTCTTGATATAAAATGCTTCTTCAAGTTTTCCAGTGTTTCTAGGTGTCCAGTATCTGTAGTTGGTTCCAGCTGATGATGTGACTGGTGTTGTAACTGTACTAAGATAATGATAAAGAAGTATGAAGCTTCTTGATGTTCTCTGCCTTTTTCACCTATGTAGGATTTTTTACAAGAATAAGGTATTTTGCACATAACATTGATCAGTTTATATTCACTTGCCAGATTTTTTATTTTTGTAAGGGAATTTCTTAATGTCTTGCCAGATTTGAAATAGACTTTGATGTTGAATTTTTAAAAAATCATCTAAAAAACTTCCTATACAGATGCAGTTCATTAACAGTCCTTTTCAAGTATACTGTTCCCTGTCTAAACCTTCTCTCAAACAAGAGTTGTTCTTTTTGTGTTGTACTACCCTCACCATCATAATCTCTGTATAGTGACAACCTTGTCACCAATACCTTTATGTATTCTGGAAATTCAAACATAATGGTATCTAATTTCTTTAAGCCTGACATCAATGACTTTGACAGAATTCTTGTACTGCATCCTTTGTACCTAACATTTATAACAAACATTCTGTAAACAAATACACAGCACCTTTCAGAAACACAGAATAAACTTAAAAGTTGAAGTATTTAAGTACATTTTCACAAGAAGAAGTAAAGTTTACCATTATTGGATTGTTCTTATAAAGTGATAAAATGTAGCTTTCTCCTTTTTCTGAGTTGCTTGATGCATTTTATCACACCTACCTCCAATCAAATACATTTAACTATGAATTTACAGCTTTCTTTAATCATACAAATAGGTTTAACTTGGTGAGAAACAACTGGGAATACTGAGGTACATCTGTTTACTCAGTAAGTGAAGAGTATTAAATCTTTTCTTATTGTATATACTTAACCATTAAGAGAACCACTTGTATATGAACTAAAATTATTTTTTTTAATAACCAATTTTCATATTTTGTAACAGCACAGATACTTTTTGGTATTTCCATTCACATCAAGACTCATTATACTTCAAAATACCGTTTTTTTCAGTGTATAAGATGCGCATTTTTACCCAAAAATTTGATGTCAAAATCTGCTTGTGTCCTATACACCAAAGGTATGAATAACATATATGTATATATATATATACAAT